TTTGATATTGGTAGCAAGCATACGCTGACCATTTATAATTTAATGGTCCAGCACATCTGGTAAATCTGGTAAAAGGTGTCTGTCTAACTGTTGCACTGGATAGTGGGGTTTCTTATAGTTGACCACATTGCAACTTATGTGGAACCTGTGGTTGGTAACTTACATTGAAGGACTGGATTTTCTTGGATATACCCAGTTTCATTTAGCTGGACCAGAATATATTTAGATTTATTTGGTTTCAATCTGAAATACAACGTTATAATGGACTCACATGGTATTTAAATATGTGTGAACACCCTTCATACACATCTATATATGTTGTTTTTTTATTTTCACGTTTGGTGATTTATTACTGGTATTTATTTTTGGTATTTATTCAAATTTATAATATCGAATGTATTGAATTTTTTTTTAGCGCTGCTGTTTTCTATTCATCTGTTTCCTCAACTAGTATCATAGTTGTCCAGTGGACGCTTAGTTATTTATGACTTAGCGCAGATATTATTTGTTTTTACTATAATAAAAAATTGGTTCAGCCTGTCCCCCGAAGAAGTAATTTCAGACAAAATGCATAGGCAGTGGCCTGGGAGTGATGTCATCATGAGTGCCAGTCAGAGCTGGTGTTTGCTGTAAGCTATTGCTACTGTTTGGAGCAGGAACTGTACACCGCAAGGCTATATGGTGTATTTGCGCTATACTATTGCAAACTTTTGGATTTAAATAAAAGGTACAAATTTTAAACGTACATGGGAGTGCATTCTTCTCTTTGGTGCTAATACATGAAAGTGGGGGTGCAGTGTTTGGTCTTATGGTGGGACCCACTGGAGGATTATACAACCAAAGCATGTTTGATCATTTATAACTTTATGGTCCATCATATCTGGTAAGAGGCTTCTGTCAATGGTGTTACACGATGATGGGATCCTTTTCAAGATTGGTGTATGGACATTTAAAGTAGCTAACAGATGCACTGTGGCCTTCTATAAGCATGCATTTGTGAACTACAACAGTGTTTGTATTTGCACATCCACATTGGAATAAGCTTTTTGGAATAGAAGATTTGCTCACATATGGATTGTTATGAATCATCATTTATGATTTCATGTTTGTTAATTTTTTTAAAATGTAGCCCTGCTTTTCTATTATTCTATGATCTGCAATTGGTATCACAATTGCACAGTAGCTTCTTTATTTTATTTTATTTTTTGGTGACCTAGCACAGATATATTTTGGTTTTGATTGGCAATAAAAATTAACAACGGATTTAACCCCTCCCTGCTCTATCTACAGTAAAAGTTATGGTTCAGGTTGAGTCTTGTCCCAGTCCTATGAACTTGTTCCTTTGTGGTGCTATTTGACTTTTTACGATGAAGAATAAGAAATGAAGAGACAATTTATCACGGTTCAGACACGTTCAGCTTTATTTTCTCCTGTCAGAAAAAAGAGTGCAAGGATTACATCAAAATACTCCAATCTCCGCTAGCTACTCACAAGAAACACGCCACCAAATTATGAAGTAATGAATGGCTTCTATACATAGTGACAATGTATTTACAGGTGAAGAAGAGGAGCAGCAGAAATAAGTCCAGTAGGTAATTTGGCACTATAGTCTTGGTACAGCACACATTACGTCTGCAGCTGAGGTTTATGGGTACATATGGCAGCACAGCACAGTTCATAAAGCTATGCACACTTCTCACTACAAAGGAAATCAACTGGAAATGAGAAGACTGCTTTAGGAAACCAGATTAACAAACAACAGCGTATACATTAAGATGTTTCATTTCAAATAACATAATTCCTGTAGTACTAACCTAACAACAATAAAATATTTCCCTATAGTCCTCAACTGAGCACAATTTGATTAAGTCTTGTGTGGCCTGGAACCAAAGATCCATTACAGAATGTAATCATGGCTTAAGGGAATGTAAGGTAGTAATTCCATCAAAGCAGAAGGATGTTTCCTCTTGGGTAATGTGCATCATTTTAACGTGGCGCACTATTTTATAATAGAAGCCCAAGCAAGTATAGCTAAAAACTTCATTGCTGCAAAAATAAGTCTATTTTTATATCCTACACAAACAATGCCAATAAAACTAAGGAGATATACAGGAAAGCTTCCCCACCAGGTTAAGCCTATCAATCAGTTTAAATCGAATATACTGTATATATAGCTGGCTTTACAGCAGCTTTACAGTAGTGCGTTCGATGGAACAAAGAATGGCCTCTAGTAAGGACTAGAATATTCTTTTCTTATACCCTTCTGGCATGCTTGGATTTGTAGTTAGTTTTTAAATGTTTATATGTGTTTCACTTACACTGCATATTAATATTTATAAACATGCTGTAAGTCGTGAAAGTTTTAAGTCTAGTTCACGCTATGAGAAAATCATATGACCAATCGTCCGATTTTCCACCAAAGTGGGTATCATAATGTGATTGTATTGGTATTGCCGACAAAGGCAAATGTAGCTACGTAGTAGCGGTGTAGAAGAGGAAGTGTAGGGTCATTCTATGCTTCTGATCATGGGTGGTTTTTTCTATTTGATTATTTCCATATAATTACTGTATATATTAAATGAAAATTGGACATTGTGTTCACTTACGATAAACATTTTCTAGCTTGCACCCTTGTTTTTTGTCATGTGAAAAGTCAGAAGTGGCTGCCTAAAGCATTATACTAATGATCAGATAATCAGCCGATAGTTCCTCATATGGAAATTTTCATACGAGTTTCTTACGGGCTTTCTTCACATGGGCGATTGCATGCATGCAAAATGATGACAGGCTGAGAGAAGTCATCGCAGTTTGCATGTATCTGCACAACCAGCAGTTACCTGCATGTCCAAGCCTGGATGCATCTGTCTTGAGTCCAGGGTCACTCATTCGTCCCTAACAACAAGTAACAGCTAGTTGTACAGATACCAACAATGGCTCCTCTCAGCCTGTCATTACTTTGTAGAGGCTGAGCAGCCTTTGCTGTTTGCATACACCTATCATCCCAGCCATAATAATTCACCGCTGTAATCTCATGCATGCATGTAATCATCCATGTGAGTGAGGACTTATAATGCTTGTTATCATGTATACTAGGCTAATTGTTTTGAATTAACCCATACCTGTAAAAGATGAGTGTACGTACTCATCATTCCTGCTGCCTATGCCAGCAAATTAAGGGAAAACAACATTTCCACATAACTCTCACTCGATCATCTTGCTGTCCTCCATGCATTAGAAGATAACGGAGGTCAGCAGGTGGAACCAATGAGATCTGCTGAACCCAGGAACATAAACAGGTCTATTTATCATCCAAGGCTGTGCTTTTTCACCCAACATTCACCCAAGATTAATAAATATTTCTAAGCGAAAAAAATTGTGTAAATCTTGTGTGAAAACATTAATAAATAGACACACCTAATTGTAATGATTTTAGATCATCCAATTTAATATTAAATCCATTACCTATTCCTATAAGCCTTATGTGCCAACAAAACACTGCTCCCTCAAAGTAACCTTAATAATTTCATTGTAAACCCATATCAATGCTTCCTAAACTTGGTTCAGTCATGTACCACTGTCACAGTCTCTACAGTGTCAAATGTACTATTAAGAATGACATTTGTCCTTCTCACCTACAATGGAAGGTTCTAATTTGGACATTTCCACATACAAACCCCTACAAAAATGTTATATCATGTGCCTTCTGCCAATGGCACCTGAGGCAACAGTAGGAGGGTCCTGCAATGAGGGAAAGTTCCATTATGAGAATGATAAAAGGCAATGGTTACACTTGCCAGCATGTCCAGATAATAACAAGCTTTAAAAAAGGAAATATTTGGATGGATTAGGAAATAAACTGGGATTGCTGACAAACAGGGGCGGACAACTCATGGGGCCCCTGGGCAATAGGGGATTATGGGGCCCCTGTGTCCTTGCCCAAACTCAAAAAAGCCTATGAAAACGTTACCAGGGGCATCTCATGGGGCCCCCTATTGACCCCGGGCCCTCAGGCAGTGGCCGAGTTTCCAAATGGTCAGTCCGCCCCTGCTGACAAACAAGCATATATCATACAAAAAAGTAGGAGTATACAGTGATATTGATGTTTTCCTCATGGTGCATACACACGTGTGATCTCAAATCCTAAGAGAGTATTTGGCTGTGAAAGGTAGCAGCTCAATTATCACTTTACTTGCATCAACACCAAACGCCTGATATTTACAACCCATCCAGAAGACTTTTCCTTTGTCTAAAAGTCATTTTATCTATCCTATTAGTATGCCATTAGGCTGCCTATACCTTCATATACCAATAAATAGGTAGGCATCAAAAGTCTACAGATACATTTTTATTCCCGAGAACGATATTTCTATTCTACATCAAAAAGTAATTCTCTTAGTTTGGCCCATCATATTCAGCTTTGACCTGCCTTTTTCCATCACAATATTCTTGAAAATGTTCGATCAATGAAAAATATTTTTTTTCTAGTGGGTAAAGCTTTCCCTAACACACAATACAGCTGTGTCTGTTCATGAAGAACAATGACAAACTATTATAAATGAGCACAAAGCAAAACATTCACCTGCATATATCCGCATCATCTATCGACAGTGAAATCCATTAACTTAATTTGGCAAATATTTAAAAAAATTAAGAGTTCCATTTGTATTTTTTTTTTTTTTACTATTTTTACATTGCGAGGTAACAATAAACATTGAACATGCCTTTGTACAAGGTTGTGACTTGGTTACAAATTAACAATAACAATGCACAGAAAAAGATTTTTTTTTTGTTCTCTGTTAATAAACCCTGCAAGTTTGTTTTTAATTTTGCATGTTATCTGAGCTGTTCTTCGGACTCAAGAAGCAGGGAAGTCCCTTGTCCACTGATCTTCTAGTGACCTTCGGGTTTACTAGACTTGGCTTCATGGTTAACGGATCCCGAAGAAAGCCACGGGGATACGGATCTTGAACTTGTTTGCTTAGCCATGCTGTAGTGGCTGATTACAGTGTAAAACCTTCCCCGTGAGTTGGAATCTTGTGCAGAGTAGTAGGCATCCAAGGAAGATGGTATGCATCTCTTATGCTGAAAATACAAAGAAAAAGTAATATTTGTTGGCACCCATTAAATTTAAAAAAATGTAGTCATACATTAATAAAGTTATTCTAGTTTAATGATTTGTTCATTAGCAATACATAATAATTAGGTCCTTGAGCTGAATACAGCCACTGGACATCAACTTTTAGTCCAGTCTACCTCTGGTATAGCATGCCCTTTTCATAAAGCTTAACTCCAGCCTTACCTTCAGTCTTGCACAGTTGTACAGGCTCCTCACCAGTACTGCAATTGTTTATTATGTGGGCGTTACCTAGGGAAGTCTGCATGCAACAGCAGGCCTACCTAGGAGCATCCATTCCTCCAAGCTTGCATCTACCCATCAAGGTATTTTGATATTTGCATAACTCCTTCCACGAGCCATCCCACTTCAAGTGTTAAAGCTGAGCACACTTGAGAAAAGTCCTGAGGAAGGGTGTTTGTAAGGTTTACATGAAGCTATGCACAAAACCCTGCTGGCCTCTCCCACCTACCATCATTTGTCTACTTAGAGAAGTACATACAGTATAATGTAAACTGCAAACCCAAATATTTCTGCGCATGGGGATGGACTCAACATAGGCTATAACCACATCTCAGATGTCCTGGAATGTGCACTCTTTGCTGCCCTCAAAGGACCGGGGAAGTCCAAATGCACTGATATAAAGAAAAAACAAACAGAAGGCGCACCGGCCTAGTGCATTACCATAAAAAACATTTATTAAAAGGAATAAAGATAGGTATTGTACTCATAAATAACAATAACGTCAAACACACATCATAGAGCACTGTCCAATCCATACTACGTGACTGTCCACAATGTGAACCCTGGACTTTCAACAGGCTAATGTGTTTTGAGGACTTGCCTGTTCCTCAGAGCCTCTCTAGTGTTCTAGCTAGTGTGGATTGGACAGTGCTGTTCTTTTATGATGTGCCTTTGGGATTATTGTCATTTGTGAGTACAATACCTATCTTTATTCCTTTAATAAATGTTTTTTTAAGGTAATGCACTAGGCTGGTGCGCCCTCTGTTTTCTTCATATACAATATAATGTCACTGGGTTTAATATAAGATGAAGACCAAGCATTTTCTGGCACATTGTTTATAAGTTTAAATCAGTATTTTTTGCTACTATTTGTATTACTTAGAACCCCCAAACACACACACACACATATATATATAAATATATATATATATATATATTTATATATACAGTCAGGTCCATAAATATTGGGACATCGACACAATTCTAACATTTTTGGCTCTATACACCACCACAATGGATTTGAAATTAAACAAACAAGATGTGCTTTAACTGCAGACTGTCAGCTTTAATTTGAGGGTATTTACATCCAAATCAGGTGAACGGTGTAGGAATTACAACAGTTTGCATATGTGCCTCCCACTTGTTAAGGGACCAAAAGTAATGGGACAATTGGCTTCTCAGCTGTTCCATGGCCAGGTGTGTGTTATTCCCTCATTATCCCAATTACAATGAGCAGATAAAAGGTCCAGAGTTCATTTCAAGTGTGCTATTTGCATTTGGAATCTGTTGCTGTCAACTCTCAAGATGAGATCCAAAGAGCTGTCACTATCAGTGAAGCAAGCCATCATTAGGCTGAAAAAAACAAAACAAACCCATCAGAGAGATAGCAAAAACATTAGGCATGTCCAAAACAACTGTTTGGAACATTCTTAAAAAGAAGGAACGCACCGGTGAGCTCAGCAACACCAAAAGACCTGGAAGACCACGGAAAACAACTGTGGTGGATGACCAAAGAATTCTTTCCCTGGTGAAGAAAACGCCCTTCACAACAGTTGGCCAGATCAAGAACACTCTCCAGGAGGTAGGTGTATGTGTGTCAAAGTCAACAATCAAGAGATGACTTCACCAGAGTGAATACAGAGGGTTCACCACAAGATGTAAACCATTGGTGAGCCTCAAAAACAGGAAGGCCAGATTAGAGTTTGCCAAACGACATCTAAAAAAGCCTTCGCAGTTCTGTAACAACATCCTATAGACAGATGAGACCAAGATCAACTTGTACCAGAGTGATGGGAAGAGAAGAGTATGGAGAAGGAAAGGAACTGCTCATGATCCTAAGCATACCACCTCATCAGTGAAGCATGGTGGTGGTAGTGTCATGGCGTGGGCATGTATGGCTGCCAATGGAACTGGTTCTCTTGTATTTATTGATGATGTGACTGCTGACAAAAGCAGCAGGATGAATTGTGAAGTGTTTCGGGAATATTATCTGCTCATATTCAGCCAAATGCTTCAGAACTCTCATGGACGCCGCTTCACAGTGCAGATTGACAATGACCCAAAGCATACTGCAAAAGCAACCAAAGAGTTTTTTAAGGGAAAGAAGTGGAATGTTATGCAATGGCCAAGTCAATCACCTGACCTGAATCCGATTGAGCATGCATTTCACTTGCTGAAGACAAAACTGAAGGGAAAATGCCCCAAAAACAAGCAGGAACTGAAGACAGTTGCAGTAGAGGCCTGGCAGAGCATCACCAGGGATGAAACCCAGCGTCTGGTGATGTCTATGCGTTCCAGACTTCAGGCTGTAATTGCCTGCAAAGGATTTGCAACCAAGTATTAAAAAGTGAAAGTTTTTATTTATGATTATTATTCTGTCCCATTACTTTTGGTCCCATTAACAAGTTGGAGGCACATATGCAAACTGTTGTAATTCCTACATTGTTCACCTGATTTGGATGTAAATACCCTCACATTAAAGCTGACAGTCTGCAGTTAAAGCACATCTTGTTTGTTTCATTTCAAATCCATTGTGGTGGTGTATAGAGCCAAAAATGTTAGAATTGTGTTGATGTCCCAATATTTATGGACCTGACTGTATATGTGTGTGTGTGTGTGTGTGTGTGTGTGTGTGTTTGGGGGTTCTAAGTAATACAAATAGTAGCAAAAAATATATATATCTATCTATATACTGTATATCTCTATCTATCTATATCGATCTCTATCTATCTATCTATATATACATACTGTATATATATATATATATATATATATATATATATATATATATATATATACACACACACTTAGGTTTTTTTTTTAGCAAAGACCCTAGAGAATGAAATGGCGATCATTGCAATTTTTTATGTCACATGGTATTTGCGCAGCGGTTTTTCAAATTTTTTGGGAAAACATACACTTTAATGAATTATACAAAAAAAAAATCAAAACCCAATATATACTTCAATGAAAGAGGATGTTACAGCAAGCAAATAGATACCTAACATGTCATGCTTTAAAACTGGGCACACTTGTGGAATGGCAACAAACTAAGGTACTAAAAAATCTCCATAGGTGATGGTTTAAAAATTCTTACAGGTTACCAGTTTAGAGTTGCAGAGATAGTCTAGCACTAGAATTATTGCTCTTGCTCTAATTTTTGTGCTGCAAACACCATTTACATATACTTGAGCGTATGTGTTTACTTCTCAGCATGGAGGGATGGGGGCGCTTTAATAAAAAATTATCTTATTTATTTTTACACTGTCCCTTGATTTTTATTTGTATCCCTTTTATTCCTGTTAAAAAGGAATGTAAACATCCCTTGTAATAGAAATAAGAATGCCAGGTCTTCTTTAAGGATAGATCTGGGGTTAAAAAGACCCCATATCTCTCCTTTATGTTTAAAAGCAAAAGATCCCAAAAAAATGTGTTTTGATCTTTTTCTTTAAAAAATAAATAAATTGTTTACATCTGCCCCAGACCAGATGTCTGGATGTCATGATGTCACTCTGGTCCTCCAACGCCATATAGGTGATCAGGGACAATAGAGGCTCTCATCACCTCTGGGAGCAGCCATCCACACCGTTGGATCGTTTAATGGGTGAGCTGGTTTTAACAGTAAGCCCGAGAAACACCAGTGAGCAGCAGGAAGGGGGATGACCCCTCCCGCTGCTAATTAAAGACTTCCAATGACTAAGGAGTTGCTCAGATTGCTTTCATCAGAAAGCCAGCCATTGGCTAAAAAAAAAAAAAAAAAAAAGACACCAGGGTTATGGCTGATATCTTCAGCCATAACCCTGGTAAACCACTTGAAAGCTGCAATGTTTATATACGTATTGCAGTCATCAAGTGGTTAAAATAGGTTTTGTTTTTCATTAAAATACTGAAGAAGGGAAGGGAGGTACCAGGGAAGGCAAACTATAAGCAAAATAAACCTCAGCTAAAAAAAAGTTTGCCAGCGTTTGCTGTAATATCATTCAACTGGATTTGTATTTGTGTTTGGAACCCCACCAGAAAGACTCCTCTCTCTTGTCCCACCATTACAGAAAGCAATGTCAGCTATCCACTAATGGATTCTCTGCTGGACTTTATAAACAATTCACTTTAGAGTGGTGTGGCTGAATGGTGATTCTAACACAGGGGGAAAACTATTCAGCCTCAGGTCGCTTAAAGTGGAGTTCCAGCTGAAAAAAAAAATAAAAGTAAGCAGCTACAAAAACTGTAACTGCTGACTTTTAAAATACAGCCACTTACCTATCCCTTGACCCAGCGGTGTCCTCACCTCGGCTGGTTTCACCAGCCATCTACTCTCTCTGGCACCGGCATCTTCAGTGTGGACAGCCGGGTGCCCACTGCACATACGCAAGAAGCGCTGAGCTTTGTGAATGGCCCCGTAGTCTTCAGGGACCTGTCACGTGTCCCAGAAGACTACAGCGAGGGAGGGGGGGGAAGGACAATTTCCGCTTCCGTTCGCCTTAGGCGATCACAGTGGAAGTGGGTGCGGTTACCTGTCAAATTCGGGTACCCGCTCCCCCAAAGGTGCCAATGCTTAATGGGGAGTGGGGGACAAAGACTTAAAGCGGAACTTCCCCTTTTGGGTGAAGCTCCGCTTTAAGAAGATATGTGGCCACTCAACGAAGTTGAACAAGTAGTAACTTAACCTTAAACTGCATAAGGGGTTCTTTACTGTTAGAGCAATAGTGACAGTGAGACGACAGTGACT